TATTGTAAATATAATACGCTTCATTTGCACTTTTACTCAAAAAAACGTGCTAGACTTTCAGTGATTTTTTCATTCGTGTTGTAATTAATTGGTAGTTTAATAGATGTTACCCAAGTTGAATAAATTACTCGTGAAGAACAGTTATTTTGAAGTAGGTTGAGAATCAAAAATGTTCAGCGTTTGTTTCAATTTCGTCATTAAAAATGGGCATGGGGCAATAAATGGGCCCGAAAGACAAAAGTACCAACAAAAAATGAGTTTGGTAAATATCAAAAATGCCCTGTAAGGTGCGAAAAAGAAAAATGTGACAACAAGCAAGTCAGTTAATTTTCAGGGGTTGGCGCAGTGATGCCAAAATGGCTTGATGCGCCAACCCAACGCACCGGCACTGTAACACACCGGTTCAGTCATAGAAAAAGACAAGTAGAAGAGTGCGCTCAAATGTAAAAATTTCCAACTTCACTTATCGTTAAGAAAATCTTGCTTAGGATTTGGAAAAACCGTTGCGGGACACCTTTTGGATAGCGTTTTTCGAACATAAATTTCTCAGAAATGAAAAATAATCTTCAGGTTTTGAGAAGTGCGTTCAGTGAAGACGAGTGCGCTCTAAATGTCGACAAAATTGCTTCAAACGTTGAAAAATTTATTTCAATCGCTTCGTAAATGTTTTTTTGAAAATAACGCTTTTACACAACTCTTCAATATAAAATTCCACCTTCCAAACTAAAACCAGTAGAAACTTGAAAAATTGACATTCTGTAGAATACTTTTTTTAAATTAAATTTTGGCGTAACCTTGCACCTAAATGTCTGACATTCAAATTTCGTGACTTTAGTGATAAATCCACCAGAATTTACTCACGCACGTTGTTACTCGAATTATCAATTCTCTGTCCTATGATATAAAAATTCCGTCCTGTTTCAGTGGATTTCGTAATAAAAAAAACAGGCAAAACTAAAACTTTGGACTTTTGTTAACAAAAAAAAAACATAAAACTAGGACCCATATTTGCATATCTGAAACGGTTTTTTTGGAGACAAGCTTCAGATGAGCTTGATGTAAAAATACAAAGCCGCCCAAAATTTTCCTACCAATCTTCAATCCAAAGAACCAATAGCTCAATGGATATCAAATCCACTCTACGAGTGAGTTGATGAATGTGGGACTAAAAGTTCTACATCTACATGGCAACCAGGGGCAAAGTAATGCTAAGTTTACCGAAACCTGCGTAGTGCGACCTGGAAAGAAAGAAGAAAATGTGTTTAGTACAGCCGAAAATATGTCAAAAGCCAAACTTATTTCAAACCAACAAAGAGAGAGAGAAATATAGAGAATCCATAAAACAGTTCAAGCTAGAAGATTTATAGATAAGAGATCATTCTTACCAGCTTCCTGCAAGCTGGGGCCCCATCCTCCATTTTATACCCATTAATCCTCAACAAGTTAACTACATTTTCACAAACTATTTCCTATTCTACTCCAATTCTATATTTCCCATCGAAGAACGCGATTCACACGACACAAAGGATTATTGACCGATTTCATCCACTGTCGGTAGCAAGCCGAATATGCATACACCTTTTCGAAAAAAATACACCTAAGTACAGAATAACCATGCGTATTTAATAATTTGCATGTTCGCCCTTTCGACGATTCATTGCACTGCTCTTGCTTGGCGGTTCGATTTCAATTTGTTTATTGTTGACATTTTTGTAGCCTGTTCGCATTGCAATATTTCCAAAGGCAAATTTCACGTTCCAACTTTACGAAAGTCAACAACAACTATATGAAAAACGCTCCAAGCGCCGATCTTCCCAAATTTAATTTAAAATTTGAAGCCATTTATATTTGTTTCAATTTCACTCAGTCGCAGTGATTAATGCACAACGCTGCCAAAACTAAAACTAATAACCGATTAAATTTTGTTTTTCTAAAAATGTGGACTAAAAAAACTACAAAGAAATCACTTATAAATGAAACTGTTGCTCAATTTCTGAGCGATGATAGCAACCAACGAAATTTCAACTCATTAAAAATGTCCTTTAACAGTTCTGATCTGACCAACTCACAGAGCCTCATCAACTCAAAAGAGCAATCAACACAGTGTTACTTAGGCCTAAAGCATTACATAAAGAAATATTGGAAACCGCACATACCGGTATTTTTAGGACTCAGTGATAAACACAGTCGAATGTCTTGGAGAGATAAAAAAGATCAACCCTCCTCAGAGCTGTGCAGAACGCCGAACTGATGCCGATAAAACAAATTTTTAGACCTCAAAACTGGATTTGTTTATTCCACCATTGCTGAATGAAATGTGAAAAATTATTGAATAGACGTAATTTCTGAGATAAACCTGAAATGTGGGAGGATAACAAAAATCCGAAAATGTATATCTACTAAATATTTGATATTCGCGTAACATGTGCGAAATGTTGAGTCAATCAGGCTGCAACAATGGAACCATAAAGGTCAAGCGAAAGGAACCACGTTGTAAATTATTTGTTGCAGAAAATTCAGAATTCTCTAAACGTTCTTCACAGTCTAATTCATTTTTCTTTGCTTTTGTTTTTTAATTTTATTATTGATACAATTTGATGTGTTGAAAAATAAGCACAGCAACTGCTGGGATAGTTTCAATGAATAA